GGCAGAACAACCTGAGCTGCACGGTGCTAGGGGGGTTGGTCGTTCTTGGTGTTATCCGGCTCCGGCAAAGCAGGTGATATCAGATCTGACCCGAGGGTCAAGCGGCACTCGCAAGGAATGTTTTGAAGCTGCATGCACGGTAAAATAAAAGTTCCTTTGAATTTCAAAACCCGGCCTTGGATGTCAATAGCGCACTGGATAAGATCCAAGACCGGGACTTGAAATTCAAGGAACTTTTTTTAACCATGTAGAAGTCACGGTGGCTTATGACTGCGATATGGCCACGGGGCTGGCTGACCAAAAATGTCGTGGCTCCGTTCGCTGGTTCTCTGAATTGTGTCTGCACAATAGTGTTAGTCTGCATGGCAGTGGGGCTAAACTGATCTGAGGTATCGAGAAGCTGCTCTGAAAAAAAAAAAACTTAAAGCCTGAGCACTACATACGTTTAGTGTCTACATCAAAGCCTTTTGGTAGCACTATATGTCCAGCTCTGGTAGGAAAACGTAGCATTCCAGCCCAAGAAAATTTACTGCACATCACATTTTCCTGTAGATGTGACTTAAAGTAAGGTGCCCAAACGCAAAAATGTATGCGTAACTTAGGTCATGCCGTTCCGGGGCACCTTGTGAACAGCCGAAAGTTTACCGTACACTGAGAAAAACTTTTGGTCCGGAGCAATAAGCATTTTGTCCCGAGACCGAAAGTTTTTGACGCATTATACAGTTGTGCCTGAGCTCCAAAGTTTTGTTGCCGAGCTTTAAAATTATGTTGCCACGCACAGTAATTTTAGTGGTGGGAACTAAATTTTTTGTGCCATGTACAAAGTAGGACGCACTAAACAACCGTTTAGTGCCCGGCAGGAAATATTTTTCTCAGTGTAAAGTTTTGAGATGGTCGGGACCTCGGTCGGGACCAAAGTGTAGAGGATACCCTCGGGTGGATCTCATACCTTTGGAATCACACGAGTCATTGCAAGGTGTCCACCAGCAGTTGTGTGACTTACTTTCGCACTGGTTCTAGGGTCTTGCAACTTAAGTCGCATAGCTGTTGGACACCCAATATTTACAGTGTAAGGTGCGCGCATATGATGACTGGCATCTGCTACTCACGGAGGTTGTCGGCCGCCGAGGACGCGTGGAGAGCCTGCAGTAGCACGAGGGAGGCGAGAGCGGCGAACATCTCTGGAGCTTCTTGACGAACAATAGACGTAGTGTCGTCTAGAACAGTTACACCATACATTACATCTTCTTTCAGTGACATTGTGGTATATGTCTGCATTATTCAGTATGAAACGGCAGAATAAATTTCTTTTGGAGGTCAAAAATGATGTGTCAGAAGAACAAAAGAATAAGTTTTTTCCGCGAGTTTTAAGCCGTTGATAGAGTAAAGCGGTAGTGATCAGTGCCACCCGTAGGGCTCTAAGGGCAACTAAGCTTACGTCACGAAACGAAGGGTGTTTCTCCGTACGGCGGTGGCCGCGTGTGGACTTCCGGACAGGAGGGAGGAGCTTTCCCCGCAGACACAGCGTACAACACACCGTAAAGCCAAATGTGCGAATGTTACACGCTTACTTGTAGGTGTGTGAACAACATTCGTACATATTGCGGCACAAGTGTGGGAATATCAAAGTAAGATTTCACACTAGTACTCGCTTAAGTGCACGAATTGCCATTTACCCACCTAAGAGTGTCCTACAGGAGTCACACAGTATAGCAGCAAACCACCTTGCAGTGCCAGGCGTCCAGGAGCACAGGACACAGGGACGTTGGTAAGAAAATAACAACCTCTTATTTCGAGTGACTCTATACCTCCCTCCCTCTCCACAACCCATCACCACTCCAGGTGAATGACTCGCTGAATCGAGCGTTAAACAACCACCGCCGGTGACCTTCCTCTCCGCGGTGCACCGCGCATCTCTCCCCTCGCCGCGCGCGCCGCGAGCAGCCGCCTCATTTTGGGGCGAATAAGGCTGAGTCGCTGAGCCGCACGCCACGCCCGTAAAGCGCACAAGGGCATGGGTGCGGCGGGGCGGGAGAAAGAAACGAAATGAAGTGGCCTTTCCCTGCCATCAGGGCGGTACTCGCACAGGCAACAATGGCGGCGATAAGAAAACAACAGCAGCGTACAAGAAATATGCCAAGAAAACATGCCACCTATGTGGCGTAGACGCTGGAATCAAGCGATTCAAGGAAACGACCCTGAAACGACGTCAAACAGGAAAAGTCAATGTCTAAAAGGCAAAATCGTTGTCGCTCCGATGTGGGTTAAGAAAAAGTTCAGTGATTTCTAGTCAGTTACAATTGAGTTTAGGTAACCGACACCCTCTTCCTAAAGCCCGAAAATATTTTTTGGGTGGGATGGGATACAAAATGTGGATTTGCCGACAGTTCAAAGTTCCAAGATAGTCCTCCGGATTAAAAGTACTCCTTTGTTTTACCAGTGATTGCACCAAATAATATCGTCATTGTGTAGTACGTTTTAAAGAGAAAAAATATCCGATATCTACAAGATAAGGGATTATTAACAAAGTACGAGTGACCGTTCCGAACCTGCCAAATCCAGCCTCTGCAAGCTCTCTTAGCGCCTGATAGTTAGGCAAAATCTTGTCTGCAGTGCATGTGTGCACTGCGGGGTGGCCTACCCCAAGTCTCACAGGCGCTGAGTTCGCGTAATTTGTCGAATAAATCCGAGAAAAACGGACGTAACTTATGGATGCTCCCTAGTATGAAGTGCGAAACTGTGCCATCCGTTAGTTGGCCACAATTTTTCGCCAAAACCAGCCAGTAATAGCCAAACGTTCACGAATATTATTTCTATTCTATGGGGTACCTTAATAGCATCAAGTTGTCCGTCCGACAGTGGACACGGAGTCGAAAATAGATTCCGATAATTTTCTAAATCTATGTTCTCTAGACAGCGGGGCGAAAACAAATAGAATTGTTAGTTTTGTATTTGCACTCAACGAACTTTCCACGCACACGCATGTATAATGTTTCTCTCTGCACTGGCAAAACAAACGTGCAATATTTGCAGACCAATGTGTGCAGATCGTGGTTTGGCACATGTGTCCAACTGGCGTTGCACCCTTACGTGATGTGAACATTTTATACGTGTCGTAAATCGTAAACGTATAAATTTTACACACATGGACCAACACAGACCTATGCTATTATGGGGAAACAAATGGTCTGCAGCTGCTATAGGATTAAGAAATGTCTAAAGTTTGCGCAGCAAATGGCATATAATAGACGTGTGCAAAACTAATCGCTTTACATGTGCAGCTCACAGATATCGGTCTCATCCATGTGTTGCCTGTACTTACATGCTTTCCGTCGCGCACCCAGCAAGTCCCTTGTGGCCCTCACCGGTGTTCTGGTGCTTCTGGTGTTGTAGCGCGTGGTACTGTGGGGCTCTGCTGGGGCGGCTGCGCCGGGGCGAGCAAGGCGAGTGGAGAGGGCTGGGAGAGTGTGGTGGAGTCAACAGGGGGAGGAGAGGAGGAGAGAGGGGGCGGAAGGGAACCGGGAAGGGATGGCTTGAGGTGAGATCGTTGACCAGGTGCGCTAAAATAAAATAAGCGAAATACACTCAACGCCGAATGTTTGCGAGCCTGTCGTCTTCCTGCTTTTTGCTATATTTTTCCTCTCCTTGTTTTTCGTGTGCCCACCTTACCGAGACAAGTCAACCGGTTGCGTCTCCCGAATGTTTGCTCTCTTCGTTGCCACGATGATTCGAGGATTTCACAGGATTTCCAGTCCCAGCTCGAGAGCAGAAGATTCTCACTGTTGCATGGGTAGTCAGGTACAAATTCTGTTTTAATCTTAAAACACACTCTTAACTGTGTATATTATCAAGAAATTCTTAAGTAATACTGTAAACCGTTCCCCAGTATTACTAAACGTATTCCTAGTATTATGCATTACAGTTATAGGAAAACGTTTAGTAATGCCAAGAAAAAAAATACTAAATAATACCAAAGAAAAAAAACTAAGTACTAATCATTTTCATGACAATATACACTGCAATAGCACAAAACTTTTGTAGTTTCTACGGAAATTTCCTAGTAAAAAAATTACACTGCAGTGGGGCATTCCGTTCCACTCTTGTACATTATCATTGGGACTGTTCTAGTGTTGCCTTTTTAGAGCAGGGGAAGAATAAGAATAAATTAACTGATCTGAACTGTAAATTGGCACCTTTCTTTTTAATCCATTTGGTGTGCTTACATCAAATATTGAAATACTGTTTTCACAATGACATGCCGTGCAAGGATGTGGGAACTGCATGAGGCGGTGTGAACTACTAAACACAACTATGCACTTGATAGTCGAATTGGTAAATAAAACACAGACTCGATTACATTAAACCGTACCTATCAATCTATAGTAATGTATTTGCTAGCGGTAACTTAACACTGATTATTTCTAAAGTGAGCAACCATACGCATTAGTATCACAAAAGTCTTGTTGAAGTCTCTCCAAGTCGCCACTGTCGCGCTGTCTGCGGCGCCCACGGCAAAACGATGGACCGCGTCCTTGGGAGGAGCGTCCACTCAGTCGCGGTTGGAAACGCCTCAGATGTAGGCAGCCCAAGAAGCTTCATTCAGCTGTACGTTGAGCTGCCTACATTTCGGCGCAGAGTGTACCAAAACCAGACATTCTGCAGGAAAGAGACGCTTCCCACACACTGTCAAGTCACTGAGAGCGGCAACAAATAACAAGAAGCAGCAAGCCTTCACAGCCAAATTAAGTCTGCTGAAGTACAGCCGTGTCCTTAAGAGCGAAGGATGGGTCGGCTACAACAGTTTAGCAGCGCATCACACTTCCTCGGGTAAAACAGGAAATGATGGGTCCTATGTTGTCTCAGACTATAATCTAGCCCGACTAGAGATGGCCGCTTCTACATAGGAAACAGCTCTTCCAGAGGAAATTTATCGAAAATCTTCTTGGCCACATCCCTCAGAAGCGTGCCCACAGCCTCGTTGATAACGGGTTTGAGTTCTGAATACACAGCCTTCCAGTTGTCACTCATAAACTGGTTCATCGTGTCACCTGGAACAAAAGTTTCGCATCCAGGATTAAGACGGAGGAGAGAACGTTCTTTCCTTGTTTGGTAGGATCTCGACCTTCCCTATTTCTTTTCATTTTTGTTGGAGTTACTGTCCAGGGATGTGCAGTTTGAGGGACTTTCTTACTACGGGCTTGAATCGCTACTAGCCTCGCTTTGAGTGGCTACACTGTTTACAAAGAATTTCTTTGTTTTGCAGGGTTTAGACTGACTTCGATTGCCATTTGTGAGATACGTTCTTGTGGGTTTTTAAGGCCGCTGATTGGATGATTTTTAACTAGAACGTATCCAATAAATGTCAGTCGTCGCCTGTCGATCTGAACGTGTAAAGCCTACAAAATAAAACTGAAGCGTCTTAGCCTACATTAAGCATACATTAAGTTAAACCTAGGCTAAGTTTCGTTTTGGACAAGCTTGTCCGCAACAATGCATGATTTCAAAAAACAAATTAATATTGCAAATCCTCTGTAACATAAATAAATGCTTTAAAAACTTTCCAAACTGTATGACAATTTTATCGTGGATCCCTCGTTTGTGTCTTCGTTGTCTTGGGAGTACAAAGTTTTCCTCTCAAATTCAAACGTACCGAGAGCTTTGTTTCCGTTGAACAGGTTGTCCATGTGAATAGTGGCGTGGCCGACGTCCACGTCGAACTTCATGTCCTCCATGCCGAAGTAGGTCTTGTTCTTTTTGACGACCTCGTGTCCCGTGATAACGGCCCGCCCCCTCACGTCCGCTGCGAAATAACATAACAAGAAATTGCATTGGTTTTGTCAACAATTCGATACAAACAGACTTGTCTGAATTAGAATAACGTTGCCTCTTACTGTAGTTGCTCCAGCTCGGGCCGTTGCCACTGATCGGCAGGATGAGTATCTGGCCCTTGATATCGTAGTCCCCCCACGTGTAGAACCACGGCAGGTAGCAGTCCACGTCTATCCGGAAGTTGGGCAGGTCGACCCTGTCACATCAAGCAGTTTACAAAACTGTCGTAGCAAATCTAGACAGCCGAGGACTCGTTCTCACTTGACACTGTTGATCTGCACGTCGGAGAAGCCCTGGATGTGGAGGTCCTTGAAGCTGCTGGTGATGGACACTGGGCCGTTGCCTTGGTTGAGGGAGATCCGGGGGACGACCATAGGGTCCAGAGACGGCACCCGCAGCTCCGGAATACCTGAAGTCGGAGAAAAGGTTGAAGCCGATACACCCTCGAATGCACCATTGTACCAAACACCGGGCAGGGCCAGCCGCGCTGCCGGCACCGCGTGCAACGCGCGGCCAGCATTCCCGTCTTATCGCGGGCGAAGAAGGTAACGACGCCCCGACACTCACCCTTCTTGAAGGTCGCCCGAAGCTTCGTGATGGAGTCTTTGACGCACTCGTTAAGCTGCGGATCATTCCTCTTGCACAGGTCAAACAAGTCCCCTGTCAAAAGCCGAACAAGACCGCATCAGCATAAAAAGGTAAACAACCAAAAAGAGTCTTGAGAGCGTGAAGAGGATGCGCCAGTGGTCAATCCTGCCAACTAGTTCGGTGTCGCGGCAGAGGTCTGAATCAGTCAGTCGACCAGTACCGGGAGCGTCCGAGAGCGGCAGGTGCGGGAAGCAAGCCAGACTCCTTGGAGTAATATGCTCGAGCCATAGCCAATTGCTCCATCTTCGTCGCACATGTTTCTTCGCGACTAGTGGACCGACCTGATGCAGGCTTCTGCTCGGCGCGGGCGAAGCGAGCAGATTCGAAGTGCGCCTTTGAGAGACCTCGGGCGCAAGACCTCAAAGAGGGTTTTAACGACGGTTCGTGCCCAGCAAGACATGGTTCTCTGTACTGTACCTGCTTTGACCGCCGCCGCGCTGGTCCGGGTCACAACCGCGATCAGGAGAGCGACGATGACGGCGATCACCAGACAGAGTCGCGCCGGGACCGGCATCGTGAGGTGGGCTGCGGCTGCGACGACAAGGAACAAGTAGTATAATTATCGCCACCATTGCCTTCGGAAAAGTATGGGGGGGGGG